CTCCATAATAAATAGTAGCGCCATACTGAACTCTAATAAATAATAAAATACACGTCCATAAAACAATTAAATCATTAAGCTGGGCTGTCGCATGGTTTACGCCAAGCTCCGCCTGTCTGCGGTGATTGATGTAACGTATAAAAACGTTAGTTGAATATTGATTGGTGGTTCAAATAACTAGAGATTAGAAAAAAATAGATTTTAGCTTACGACCTGTCAATATTATGACAGCCAGCAAGTGTTACCATAAAAAAAATTAATACTACAATTCTAAAAATGTGTCATCTATATTTTAAAAAATATGTGGAAAAATTATCTCAGTTCGTTTTAAATTATCGAATTTATAACTTACTAAATTTCAGGAGTGAATAATAATTACTAATGACCTTACATTTATCGACGTATTATTATTTATACAGTTGATATAATTTCAATAAAATCATATATTATGAAATTCTAAAAACTAATATAGTAAGCAATTTAATATTTGGCTTCAAGAATATTTTTACTTAAATGAAACATATATTTTTACTTACTACGCGTATTTTATCTCGTCTATCCATAATCACGGTTTCTGGAAATTAACCAAAACATTTAGATTTAAAAATAATAAAATACGCGTAGGAATCCGAATAATATTACTTAATTTAAATAAATACTTAAAGTATTAGATCTCATTAATATTTTTACTAAACAGCGAATCGCCGTTTCTTGGTACTTAGACCGCATGTCGTCCAAAAGTATTATAACGTATTGTATTGAAATAAGTACGAGATATGTTTATGTTGTAATAATTAAGTCGCTAATTATTCGGCGATTCTTGAGTTATATCTGGTCCAGTCTGAATATTAAAATTTAAGATTTAAAATGTAGATGTCGAGGAAGAGGAAGGATTGTGGATTTAATATAAAAGGAATTACTTTGTGCTTAATTGAACTATGAATACATAACTAATGAAACAGTTTGGATATATGTATTATACTTCTTCTTCTACCCGGCAATTTCCCAGCTTTAGCCAGGGTCTGCCTTACATGTTGTGAATAGTTTTTGGCTAATTGTTTTTACGACCGGCCGCCTGCCTGACATCAACCCTCCTTGGGAATGCATTAATTAGTGATGTCTAAATACTCTTAGAAAATACATATGACTTGGAAAAATAGCATTGGTATTTGCCAGGGCTAGGATCCAACCCGCGCCCTCGTGCATGAGAGACGGGCCTTTTAACCACTAGGCCACCGCTGACTAGTTTAGATACATTATTGAAATACAATAAAAACTTAATAATGTTCTATTTTTTTGTTATTGTAAATAGAACTTAAGATTTAGAAAAAGTTTTATATAATAATATATTTCCAAGAATCGGATTAAATTTTTCAAATTAAGATTATATGAGTATACTGTACAATGGCATCTTTTGTAATAATAATTAGCAAAATTTTCCTATAGGAAGCTTATACTTCGATAGTCCAGAGGATAAAGCTTTAAAGACAAAGTAATATTACTTCATCCTAAATCTATAATAATAAGTATAATACATATATCTGTAAATTCAAATTAACAGCTCCAATTAAACTTACATGAAATTATACCTAGTATACTATAAATATTTCTTTGATTAGAGGCTGATTTATAATATTTTTAATCTAACTGCCATTGTTCTGAAGGAGTGCCATTGTCACCAAGTTTATGAAGCAATGATGACGTTTATCTGAAATGTTTTTATAATAGAGACAAAGACTCCAATAGATATTGCTTAAATAATTTAAAACCATAGACAATATTAATAAACATTTATATATTTTTTTTAATTTACGAAATTTATTTATTTTTTATCTATATTTGTTTCTCTTTTGACACCAAGTAATAATAACAATATCTAATAATAATAGCGTTACTTCTGAGTTCTGACAATATGTGACAAATAATTTCAACTAGTCTTTCAGTTCAGTTCAAACCTCTTTTGTAATGTCATATTTATTATCTATGACTAGCTACTGATAATACAATATTTGTCTCGTCTCTTCATGAGATGCATTATATACTAAACGTGATCAAAACAACTGCGTACAATCTTTTCACACGAAGAAACATATATATATTAAAAAGAATTCTTATTACAGACAATATTATACTTTTTTATTTAAAATTTTCAAGCCAAAGAGTCATGTTATAAATGTTTTTTTTTTATTAAGAAGATTTATATAATTCCCTTGTATTTCCCTCATTACAAGTATTTTATCTCAATATCAAGAAATTCAACGTTTTTATTTTTAACATTTACCTGGCATACTTTAAAAAGTAGAAGTTATGTAAATCCCATTATTCATTAAGGGTGCAGTCCTTAGTATATCTAAGTCCATATATACTCCCACACACACACACACACACACACACGCACACACACACAAATGTTTTCCGTTCAAAATTTAATAATTCAAATTAATATTATATTATATTTAAGATTAAAAAACTATAAACTCTCCTTATGTAGTGTGATATCACGAAATTTGGTGTAAGCATTTTAGGATTTGTTTTGCCTTCATGCAATCTTCATTATAATAGACTAAACAAAATACATTATAACTGACTTAAATTTCGTGATAACAACTTTACATGGAAATGTCTAACGGAATTATAGAAGTTATCAACAAATTACACTTATTTTTAATAGTAACGATGGAAAATGACACAATCGACTCATTTTTAATTAAAAACCTTTACAAATCAACATTCCATACCCTTTGTATTGAAATATAAAACTTTAATAATGACGTAAAAACGAAAACTGTGCTCTTCATGTTCACCTTAAATCACAACCTCACACTATATACGAAGCGTCTCCAGTTTCTGATTTATAAATCTTTTGACACTATATAGAATTATCGTAAGATATATATAAGAATTGGAAAAGATATGTAGTGTGATGGCCAAAACTTCTGCTAAGCATAAAATCAATTATGGGCTAAGTCTCGTAAGTGCTTCTTTTGCACTCTTCCTAATTCCTGTCATAAACTTTTCAGCAAATTCATTAAATACACGAGGAACTTATCCATAGAAATGAAACCAAGACCAAAGTAACTTAAAACGAATTCTAATTTAACTACAAAAACCCTTAGGAATTTAGATAATCTCCGTGAACGGAAAACTGACTGAAAAATTACTTAATAATAACGATTTATGTTTTACAACTGATGTATAAATTTTGCGATATATATTTTTGGATGGTTCTAGATTTTTTGTAAAATAATAACATACATATCCATGAAAAACTGATAACCTGTTTTAAGTTCTCGTTTTATTCTAACAATTTTCTGAATTCTTAAAAAAACTTTTCAGGTTCAAACATTTTTGTTTAAACATCTTAATACTTTGGCTTCAAAACCTGATCTAAGAGTTAAATTTTGTAATGCTAGCTTAACATCTGATAGGTTAAAATTATCTTCATCATGGGGATTATATACTGAATGGTTACTCCAAATTCCGGGATCTTGGAGACTAGATGGAAACCTTTGACTGCATATGGACGTAGCGTAGTTAAACCAGCATTCCCTGGTCCTTTTTTTCTCAGGGGAAATCTGCTTACAGATACTTGGCCGAGCGGGGCTTGACCGGGTTAGGTGGGGTTACCAACCCACTAAAACCCCACGGTATTACGAGAGCTTGCCTCGGGACCCTGCAGAGCATTTTCTTATCCTGCCTTTTCTTATCTTCTTCTATAACCAGATCTAAGTTCCTGGCCTATATTTCCATCTTCCTGAAAACGTATCTTTCATTTATTTTATAACTTTGGTAAGTTATATGAATCGAAACATGAACTGGACGAAAGTAACTGTTTGTAAAGGGAGACGATTGTTAACTCTCGTGTATATATACATAAATTTATTTCCGCTGCCGTAATTATTATGATACCGACATGTAGATGTTTTAATTGTTATCCCAATATAATTACGTCACATGTTATGTTATAATCTTTTGTTCGGCTTCATCGATCTTATTGGGACAGTTTTTAACCCTTGCGATGTTGTATGATTGTCTTAAGCAGTTATTTGATGGCATTGGTGTTTTGGACCCATAATTATGAATAATCCTGATTGAGATAGGATTTGAACATTTTACTGTTCGAAATCCTCAATTATTATATATCCTTAGATTTTGTAAAGATGTTATTACAGGATTCTGATTATATTTACTTACGTTTGAGAAATCTTTTAGTAATTATATTGAAGAAATTAAGAGTTTTTAAGTCTATATTACAAGTACAGATGTACAAATATAAGTTTAAAGAATCTGATCCTTAAAAGTACTAATAGAATTCTGTTTCGGCAGAGGAGTTTCTTGAGTTGTTTGAAGATGTTATAAGTTGAAAAAAAATCTTTAACTACTATAGTCATTACAGAAAAATATTTTTTTATGCCCAGTTTTATTGAAAAATGATTAATATAACATTCTATTTATCCCAAGTCACCCCTAGTCATTTAGGTGAGTCAATAGACAGAATATAAAGTAAGAGGTTTAATTTCGAACCCAGAAAAGACAAGCATAGCTCCTGAACCTATCAACAATTAAAAAACTCACATACAGGTAAAATATATATCATTCAAAAGACCAATTTCATAAAAAGTATTACATATAACTGCCTAAAAACAATAAAATATACGAATTTTCATTAAAACTAAAAAAATAAATCATATCACAATATTATTAATTATTATACATTAAATAATATATTGAAAATGACATAAATGAATAATTTTATATTTCATTCTAATAATATAATAATATCCCTAAAATACAATAGGATTAAAATAAATAATTTAAGTCTAGACAATCCTTCGAGCCCACCCTTAAAGGGTTAATTCTCACGCTGATGACGCGTTAGGCCATTGAAATGGCACTGCACAAGATGTGCTTGTGTAGTATAAAAACCGCGGGCTGAGAGGTAGCAGGCATCAAGTGTTCAATCATCACTTCCAATACAATTAAAAAAATATAATTCAAATATGAATTCCATTCTATCAACTGTCTTCGCCATTTTGGCGGTGAACGGTAAGTTTTTTTTTAAATATATTTATTATTTAAATTGTACTTATATCAAAAAATTAAAATTAATCGAAAAAAAAGAACAATCTAATACGAACTTCCATTTCAATTGGTGCATAAAATCAGATAAGGTGAAGGCTCAAATTAATTAAAGTAATCAAAATGGCTAATATTAGTTTGTTTGCGTGTAAATAAATGTTCAGTTCTAAACAAAGCCCATAGTGTGAAGACAGACATGTGAAACACGTGGATTCTTCCTTTAACACAATATTGGATCGCAAAAACATCCGCCAAAACAAAACGTCTTTCATATTCGTGAATATAAATTTTTTAGAAAATTCAATAAACGAATCGTAATTATACCGATTGGTACATCACTAATTAAATATATTCTGTCACTTATAATAATAGTAAATCGTAATTAAACTTTTATATAAATTCTAGGTAATCAAATTGCATCTTAATAGTTAAAAATATTTTTTTATAGAAATTTATTACTCATTTAAATAATTAATAAAATTTTATTAACAAAAAAATATTAATCGAAAACTGTATGGTAGTTGACATAAAAATTCCATTAATCCTTTTTTAACTATCAAACCACTGAAAAATATAAATATTAATAGAGAGTATATGTTTTTAAATATTTAAAAAAAAAGTTGCTAAACTTACAGATTAGTTTAATCTTGACCTGAAATATTGTATAAGATAAACTTTACAGAGGTCGGCTGTATTTGCAGTTTTCATTTCAATAAACTGCTAATTGATTTCATTAAAAACTTAAAATTTGAATATCACGTTATTAAAAATTATAAAAGTATAATATTCTATAACTTATTAATATCAATATATTTCTATAAAAAAAATCACTGTTAAGAACAGTTTTCGTAAATAGGAAAATTCTCGTCTGTTCATATTATGTAAAATATTTTATAATTTTACAAACAATAATTATCCTTAAATAATATGTACTATTAATATCATTGCAATTGCACGCTCTTTACACACACAACTAGCATTACTTGGATTCATATAACCTACTTCAAATAATAATTTGAATAAATATTATTCAATTACAATCAAAAGAACAATGTTTCAGTTTCAGCTCAAAATTTAATTTTTGTTCTTCAAAGTTTTTTTTTTCATAAAGTTAGTCCTGTAATAATTCTTTTCTGTATAATTTGGTCTTGAATTTTGCATAATAAGGTATATTAGGAATCTTATATGCCGAAAACATTGTGAATCGTGTTTTGAATCAATTATCTAGACTATGTTCCTTAAAATATATACTTAAATTAAATTAAGCAATCGCAGCACGTAATGAGCTATTGATTTGCAGCCAATCTATCAAACTGACGGCAATAAAAATAAATAGGATGTTACATACAAATTAGAACACGAATTATTGTATTTATTAGCATATTAATAAAAAATTAAATCATATTAATTTCAACTGTGGGACTTGACAACATATAATGTCATTGAAACTCAATGAATCTTTATTTCAGAACGTTCTTAGCACTGATGAAGGTATTATTTTAAACAACCAACCATTTCAGAACGTTACTGTAAATATTTTTATAACGTTAATGTTATTTGTATCACGGTTTTGTTTTAATAACACAATATGTTATGTTAGTGTCGTATTATGATAACTGTTTAAGATGTGTCAATTTTGATGCCAGATACAAATTAGCAAGGATGGCTATAAACTATATAGATAACGGATTTGGGACAGTGAGTACTTCAACTAGACCGAACCTTTCAAGGATTGTTTGTTTCTAATATTCATAAATATCGTATGTAAACATAAAATAACAAACATATCGAGTTGTTTTGGTGCATTATATAAACAATTCATCAGTCTAGGCTAGCTAATGCTGACATCGGAATTAAATACGATGTTTTTGACGAGTGACTATTTCTGCAATAGTTGCCATGGCCTTTGGTTGGGGATACCGTGCTTCGGATCAACGTCGCTGGGCCGTACTTCATCCTGCTTGCGGCGGAAGACAGCAATCTCCAATTGCCATCGCTGCCCGTCAAGCTATTCCCATATCTATCCCAGCTATGGAACTCATCGGATACCAAAACCCTCTCCCCGGACCACTGACCATCACTAATAACGGCCACTCTGGTATAATTAAATTTTATTATCAATCAAATTAAATTTGATTACAAATATGCCTATATCATCTATATTACGAAATAGTATATTAGAGTCAAAGAATTACGTGTTATATCGTATAACGATAGCGAGATTAAATAAAGCATGAACGAGATTAATGTGATAATATCTTTCCAGTCGCGCTAACCATACCAAAGTATTCGTCTGAAGAGGAGAAAAAGGGCTTCCGTCTGCCATACATCTTCGGCGGTCCTCTCGATAATGAGTATGAAATCGAAGGCCTTCATTTCCACTGGGGTGACAAGAACAACCGCGGTTCTGAACATACCCTGAACGACATGCGCCTCCCCCTTGAAATGCACATCATCCATAGGAACAAGAAATACCGCAGTCTGGCTGAAGCTCTCCAACATCCCGATGGTCTTTGCGTCCTTGCTTTCTTCTACCAGGTGATACAAAAATCTATCACTAACACATAAGTTCCTGAATAAAAATAATAGCAATTACATTGATATATAGTAATATATAATTCAATCACAGGAACAAAGTCACAATTCCTCTTAGAACACTAATGTATGGTATTTTCACTTGTTCTAGGTGGTCGAATTCGACGCTAAGCTGTTAACTCCCATTGTCAAGAACCTGTCTGCCATTGAAAACTACAACACCAGCATGCAGCTCCCCCATACATTCTCCCTCTCATCAATTCTCTCCGGTCTCGACACTGAGCGTTTCTATACCTACAAAGGTTCCCTCACCACCCCCCCTTGCGCTGAAGCCGTCACATGGGTCGTCTTCTCCGATTACCTTCCAATCTCCGTTTTCCAGGTAATTATCATTCAAAATTACATTCAAAATTCCGTTAATTTTCATTCCAAACATTTGAAAATCTAATGTTATCTTTTTTTTTCAGATGGACAACTTCCGTGGTCTCCTTTCCAACCTGAACCTGCCTCTTGTTGACAACTTCAGACAATTGCAACCATTATTCGGTAGACGCATCTTCGTTCGCATTACATCTAAGAATCCCAAATTCAAGAAGACCAAGCTCCACTACTCCAAATGGGACTGGGTTGGCCACAAGAAGACCGAAAATGACGTCACTGAATTCGATGACTAAAATATAACTAACTCAATTTGAAACTAACTCACTGCGACCCATTTAAACTATAACTTGTATTAACACCAAATATTAATTATCCTAGTGTGATCATTATGGTTGTGTGCTTCTTATAATATAATTATAATCGTGCATTTATTTGTAAGTTGTTAATATACATGTAAATAAATAAATAAATATAGATAATAAATTCGTTTAATTCATAATTAATATAACACCAATATAATAATTCAATATTTCAATTACGTCGCGTAGTTATCAGCTCCGAACATAGACTGGAAAAAATAATAAGTAAAATTATAAGCAATAAATTTAACAAAAACGGCAATAAAATAATATTCCAAAATTCAAACAAACACCAAAAATACACAACATGCACATTACTGAGGGGGAAAAAAAAATAAAACAATTTAATTGTGATATACTATATTATAACATTAACAATCTATAGTTTTAATGGATAATACTTTAATTTGTATAACAATCGTTTTTATAATGTATCATTTATGAAAATTAATTTATTTGTTGCATGGAATGTTAGAACTGTTTATATAAAATTGCACACCAAATACATTAAATGCGAAATAAAATTGCTATAAAACTGTTAGTATCTTCTTTTCGGCATATTTACAGGTGCCAGTCTGTGTGGTTCAGACAAAAGACCATGCAATAAAACAAACTTTAGTGTACCAGGTCGTCGGGATTGAACATGCCCTGTCGAAGAAAAATGACAATATTACATAGACATCAAATAAAATTAACATTAATAATAATATCGTAATATATATCTGGTGATATTTTTTTCATTTGCTTGGAGGCAAAGAGCCATAACACAGAGCTCTTAATTAAAAAATTGAATTTTCTCTTTAAATAATTTAAGATTTTTATATTTGTAATACAAATAATTTGACTATATTACTGCATATGTATTTTTTTCAATATTTAAAACATGTAAGTTAAGGTTTACCTTGGCGCGACGTAAAATGGAATCCTTGCTAGCGTCATATGGGTGATCTTTGGAAGGTATCTCAAGAACAGCGGGCACCGGAGCAGTGTGCGAGTCAATGACATGCCGGATCAACTCAGCGACATTCTGATTGATGAGGATGATGTCGATATCATCACGCTTCACGAATCTCTTGAAACACTCCTCGATTTCACTGACTGGCGTATCTGCAATTTTTTAAAATTAGAATCAGACTTAAGTCCAATTTTTTTTTTTTTTACTTTATGGCTTAAAACTTACTTTTGTCAACCACCATGAAGTTCGGGTGTCTGTTTTTGTTGATTTCTCCGATTCCTCCGAGAAGGAATCCTACGCATGTATCCTGAAAATATATTTTCAATGTAGTAAATAAGTACTTCCTTACAAAGTATTATAAATTGTTTATTTATTAAAATTACAACCAAAGGCTTGAATAGAAAATGTATTAAACTTAATACATATTCCTTACTTCATCACCGATGACGCTGATGAGTTTTCCTTTCACGGCAGCTTGGAGAGCCATTTTACAACTTTTTTATGAATTTTTGGATGAAAAATTATTAAATCGAGAACTGTCACAAGAAATCATCACCTGACTATAGATTTTTTCTATTATGTTGGCTGAAATGGGTTCCGTTCAAAAATAATGAAATCTCTGTAATATTTGTATTAAATTTTTATTATATAAATTTTTTTTAAGCTGTCATTTAAATATGAAAAATTTTAATTGATTTATTTATAATATTGAAGGTGATCAATACTGATGAAAAGTAATTTAGTTTATATCTGTTGTTCATTGTGATGAAAACTGACATTAGACAAATGTTGATAGTTATTATAAACTGATTACTTGTCAACTGTGTCAATGTGATGCGTCTTCCTCTTACTTTTACTGTCTGCTTAACTACTATTTTAAGTTTTTATTGAACTCTATATTATTTATTTAGTTATTATTATGTGTTTATAAGTAACTATCAACAATGTTAAATATCAAAAACTATGGCAGTAGTTCCGAAGACGAAGGGGATGATGAGCCTCAAAAAGAACACAGTAATGAAACTTTGTTGACGCATTTAAAACCTGTTGATCCCGAACTCTCCGTTGCTAAAACAATGCAAATATGCGCGGCGCCTGTAGTGGTACCAACGGTAAATAAACTATAACTTAACCTTACTAAATAAGTATATAATATCCAAATCATTCAAAACATGTCCACTATAACTTTTTCAGAATAATGAGGACTCCAGAGTATTAGTGCATAATAATAAAGAATTAACACATAATCCTAAATATGAGGAACTGTTTGCACCAACATATGGACCTGAGAATCCTTTTCAAACACAACAAATGAGAGCTACTAGGAACATGTTGTCGGGTTATGTTGAAAAGGCTCATCTTAGTGAATTCCAGTTTGAGAATCAAAGGAGAACCTTTACAAGTTATGGATATGCTGTGGATCCATCTACAGAACCAATAGTTAACGAGAAGGGAGAATCTATTGTTGGTGAGTACAAATGTATTGGTAGATTCAGTTATTTCTTAACTCGGCGGGAAGTGCACCCCATATACCAACACTGACTGTCTCTACTGGGTAAAAAATACCACAAAAATATTAATGTAAGAACTAGAGTTATTTTATGGATAATTAAATATAACCAATTTTTATATTATATTGTGTTACATTTTCAATTAAACAAGACAGTGGGAAACTAATAAATGCTTTGTATAATATGGAATATTTGACATTTTAAAACATAGCCCAAAAGCTCATTTTGTGCACAATACGAAATATTTGCGAGTGTGGCTGGAGGGCTCTTTCCTGTTGTTTATTCGGAATATTATTATTTTGCTCGCCATTACCACCAAGTAAAAGTATTATTTTACTTTTCATAAATGTATGTAGACAGGTTTAAGATTCTAGATTTACACTTAATTTGTGGCAATACAAGAGACACAGCCAACACCTTCAAGTAATCTCACGATTTTCTTTATTAGTTGAACCGTCGAACATCTGTCGAAAGGTATCTAAAATGGCGCTGCACAAAATTACTTACAAAAATAAATATTTTCGAAAGTATGCACTATGTGGTAAATTTTACCTGGTAGCACCTCCCGCCGAGTTTTACAAATTTATCTATAAAATATATGTTTATAAGTGGAATATTAAGCAATGCAATGGTGAGCCTTTTTGGTGACTATTTTATTTGAATTTAGAATAAAGACCCCATCAATGTTTTATAAAATTACAGCCACGGGCAAAGTATTAGGCACCCTACAGTAAGACAAGTTTTAGGGTGTTTTAGCATAGCGAGTGTAAATAAAACTGCATTTATGATTACAATGGTTTAATTTAAGAAAATAATTAATATTTTGTAGGTCCACCTATTGACTTACTAACCGCAGCCACTCTTTTTAGCATTGACTCTACCAGCCTGAAACATTCTTCTCTTGATATATTTTTCCATTCCTGCTGTAACGCGGCCAATAGAGCTTGTTTATTGCTAATCGAGTGCCTGCGGATATTTTTCTTTAAAATGGACCAAATATGCTCAATCGGGTTGAGGTCTGGTGATTGTGGTGGCCAGTCCAAAAGATCAATATGATTTTCAGCAAACCACTTCATGGTATGCGCGGACTTGTGGCAAGTGGCGTTGTCTTGCTGATATTTCAGGCCGTCGGTGTTTGTATCACCGAAAATTTGCGTTATCGACGTTGCTAGTGCTGTTTCCAGAACTTCAGTGTATTTAACACTATTCATTCGTCCCTCACACAACACCATTTCGCCCACTCCGTCGGCAGCCATGCAGCCCCAGATCATTATTGAGCCTCCACCATGCTTAACAGTGGGAACCACACATTCTGGGTTGTATTCTTCGCCAACCCTTCGCCTAACATAAGTCACATCGGGTGTTCCAAACCACCTATGCCAAACGAAAAAAACCCATTTATTTTCAAAGTTATTATTTTTCTTGCAGTACGTTATTTTAAAAACATTTATGTGTTTTAATATTGTACATAAAATAAATAACAATACCTCAAAGTTAGATTCGTCTGACCGCAGTATGTTGGACCAATCTTCCACTGACCAATCTCTATGTTTGAGTGCCCACTCCAGCCGATTTTTCTTATTGTGTTCTGACAGCCACGGCTTCTTCCTTGCTGTACATCCTTTTAATCCAGCTTTAAGAAGTCTTCTTCTCACAGTATAAACACTCACTGAGCTGCCTTTTGCCTCAGATAATGCTGCAGCGAGCTCTAAAGCAGTTTTTTTCCTGTTTTGTAGAGACTGCCTAATCAACAATCGATCTTCCCGTTCAGTAGTAACTTTTCTTCTGCCTGTTCTTTGTCTGTTTTCATGGGTGCCAGTCTCTTTTAACCGATTTATAGCATATTGAACTGCACATCGCGAGCACTTCACTTCTCGGGCTATTTTAACCTGAGACATGCCTTGTTGATGTAAAATCTTTATTCTTAGACGCTGTTCAGCACTTAGTTCAGATTTTTTCGGCATGATTAACACGTTAAATGTTAGTCTTTAGAATTGTGATAGGAATAGTTGCGTAGAAGATGTGTATGTTCACTGCAAGCACTGATAACACACTATAACCCGAAACGCAAAAAAAGCAAATTCGAAGAAACACCGCTTAGGAGCACACCTGGATGTCATAAATATTTTCTTTTATCTTAATTTGGTTAAAAATTGCCGCTAATACAATAGCTAAACCATAAAACACACACTTGACCGCTATCTAATGAGATAGTGACTAACAATAGGGGTGCCTAATACTTTTGCACGCAGCTGTAGTTATTTAATATATTTTGCTATGTCGCTGACTAGTCTGTTATAGTATTATATGATGTTTATTTTTATTTCTATCACAGTCTCAGCCATGGTTGCCGCTCCTGAGGAATCTGAGGGCAAAACGGTATTTGAAAATATTAAGAAAAGGCCTTTAGATAAGAAAAAAAGAGTTAGAAATGACAACCCTGAGGATATAACAGGATTCCTTGGACCATGGGGTGGATATGAAGGGGAAAAGAGGTATAATAATAAATATATATAATTTTTAAATAATTTATGAATATAAAGTAGAAAGAAGAGTCATGTTTCTCATTTATTTGTATATGTTTTAAGATTAATTATTTATTTGTTGATGAATTTGTGTCTTTTTACTATTTGATAAAAAGAATATTTTAAAATGTATAATGAATGATTGAATCAATCGTATATTGATAGCTATTAGATTTTCTATATCGGTTAATCTATATAATTTAATAATTTAAGTATTATTTTTTTCAGAATATTAAAACCAGAAGGAGAAGAAGCAAAGGAAATCGAAGAAATTCTAGCAAAAAGACAGAAGAAAGGCAAGGTTGTTGATGATCAACCTTTGGAGGAGAAATCTATATTCCATAGTGAGTTTTTGCGAAATAATTATATATGTATATGTTACACAAATAATGATGTATAGATTAAAATATATATACTAAAGTGTTGCAACTAACATCAATGAAAAATAACCATTTTGCTGTGAGAAAATAATAATTCTAACATATTATCTTATGCATGCAAAGCTAGTACATATTAAAAATATACTCTTAAGTGCTGCCAGTAATACAAATAAAATATATTGTTATAAAAAAAATTACATTTAATTTAATGTCTAATAACTGAAGGAGATTTCACAAAATTTTACAAAATTGATTTTGATTAAGAAATATACATGTCTAAATATGAATAATTTAATTTTCAGTTGACAAAGGCACGGATTACATGGGTCGTTCATGGATCGAGGCCCCGAGAAGTGAAACTCAATTACGTAGTGATACACCACCAGATAAATGTTTCTTACCAAAAGTATGTTTTATAATTATTATAAGTATAATATTGGTTCCAACTCCTTTAAGCGACAAATGGCATTATGAAGTTAGGAAGAATATAGAAGAATTATTAATTTCATTACAATTAATGTCCTTATTATATAAAATTGTTATCATTATTAAATTACTCAATCATGTAGTATTTGTTTCATATTACTACTAATATTATAAGTGCAAAAAAACTCTGTCTGTGTGTCTGTCTGTCTGTTACGCTTTCACGCCTAAACTACTGAACTGATTTTAATGAAATTTGGTACAGAGATAAAGTTGACCTTGAGAAAGAACATAGGATAGTTTTTATCGAAGACTTGAAAGGTTCTCTTGGAAACGCGATATAACCGAACTCCACGCGGGCGAAGCTGCGGGCGGGAAGCTAGCGATCTCATAAAAATGTATTTTATTTTCTTTGAAATAAATTAAGCCAAATTAAATAATATGTTACAAAAACATCTTACAATCTCTCAGATGGGCTAGAATTCAAAGTATTTAATAGGTCATATAATTAGACCACTCATGGATATATAGAATTTAATTCTCTTCAATATATTCCAGGCTCATATATTTACGTGGAAGGGTCACTCCAAAGGTGTGTCCGCAGTTCGTTGGTTTCCTCGAACGGCTCATCTCATGTTATCAGCTGCTATGGATTGTAGGGTTAAGGTAAATAACTAATCTAAATTGAAATAAATCTAACTTTTAAGGTAAATCTTTATATAAATAACGATTTTCGTATATTTTCCGTTATCATCCAAACAGCTACATACCTATAATAATATGAAATCTTTTATTTTCGCGATTTTTTATTTTTTATTTTAAACTGCATAATCCCGACGCTTCGGTTACTTTACAGTAACCGTGATCACGGCCAGACGAGACGTTTAGTAAATCCGAAAATATTAGTTTAATTTACATATTATATTCTAGATTGGTCAAAGGTTATTTGGACTTGTTATATATACATATGTATATTAATTGCTATTATATTTGACACTTTTCGTATGTTTTTAGTGATATTTATTCACATCATATTATTCACAAAATGAGACTTGCTATATAACTTCCTAAACACTTCACTATACAGGTAGAGTTCTCTTAAAACTTATAATTGATATTCTAATTTGACCTAGTTTAAAAGTATAGACATTATGAAAATATTAATTCCATCCTTTAGTACATTAACAGTGCAAGTAATACACATATTTGTTTATAAAACCTCTTTAATATAATCTAATCATTATTCTATGATTGTTTTAGATCTGGGAGGTGTATGGTGATCGTCGTTGTATAAGAACGTACTTTGGACACAGACAGGCAGTTAGAGATGTTAACTTTAATAACACTGGCACACATTTCTTATCTGCTGGTATGTTCAAGAATTTATTTAATATGTAAATTATAACTAGAATATAATTATTTGTTTAGGTCATGAAATAAAAAAGAATTTGAGTGTTGGTATAATATTTTAGTATTTATAAATGTTTTAAAAAAAAGGTATCATGTTAATTCTGTATATATTGTTGTAATCAAAACACATCTCGTTGGAATTCTCATATAAAACTAAATTTATTGTATATAATATATAAATAAAAATTCATCTTCAGCTAAATTGAAGAAATAAAAATCTATTTACATTTTTATCAACATAGCAACCTTCTTAGATTGTATTTTTTATTTACATTGACTTTAAATCCTCTTTTGATTAATCAAATGAAAATGTATATATATTTAATATCAAATATAAAACCTTTTTGATTATTTTTTTTTCCAGCATATGATCGCTACATCAAGTTATGGGACACGGAAACCGGTGAGTGTGTGTCTCGATTCACCTCGAGGAAGGTTCCATACTGTGTGAAGTTCAACCCCGATGAAGATAAACAACACTTGATAGTTGCCGGGACCTCTGATAAGAAAATTATATGTGTAAGTGTTTTAACTTAATACAATAATAGTTCTAGAGGATTTGTCTTTATTGGTTATGAAGATTTGTCAATGATTTCTTTAATTATGAATAGTTAATAATATTATCGTATCAAGCAAAGATCCTACAGTGTATACAGTGTATTTAAAGATATTCAATGACTGAAAAAAAAAGTCATAATGTAGTATGTTAAATTAATTGAAATATATTTCTTTGGTAACAGTGTCCATTTTAATATCAATAATTTCATTATCTTTTAAACTGTACCATTACTCTCCTTTACAATAGGTGATATCTTTGACTATTCAATGACAATAATACCAGCAATGCAAAATAAGAATTTATTATTATATTAACCTACTATAATACTATATTTATTTCAGTGGGACACTCGCAGCGGTGAAATAGTTCAAGAATATGACCGTCATCTTGGCGCGGTCAATACAATCACCTTCGTGGATGACAACAGACGTTTCGTCACCACTTCAGATGACAAGAGTCTGAGAGTTTGGGAATGGTGAGACGATTATATACTACTTTATTTTTTTTAATTTGTTGCATTCATTTCCACGAAGGTGCGCTGTATTCAGCCAATGTGTGTATAAAGTATACATCAGGGTTTATTATTTTGATGGGATTAAGAAATAGAAAACATAATTTAAGTTAAAGTTAAATTTAAGTTTATATTAGAATTATATAATGAATTAGACATTAGAAACAAAAACCTCAATTAGCATTTAATATTATTGAACAACATCTATTATTTTTATCATTAGCAGATAATTAGCAAGCATTTCTTACATATAATATAAATAATGCCAAAAGAGTCATAAAAAAAATATTTTGCATGTAGTCACTTCTCACTGAAGAAGGAAAACTGCGTAATGAGGAAATGAAAATAATAAGGGGTAGGGTAAGGGGTAGAAATTGATTTTTAAGTCTTTCTTTAATATAAACTTTATTAACCTTACTTACAAGTCAAAGTTGATTTTCCGCGTACATTCGACCGCACGCATTCCCTTTCGCTCTGTCTCTATAAGGAGCGTTAAACGTTTAACGAACATTGTTGGAAGTCGCATAAGAATTTTCACTTCAAAAATGTAAAAATACCTCTAATTATGATGATTTCTTCCCAGGGACATCCCAGTTGACATGAAGTATATAGCGGATCCATCAATGCATTCCTTACCAGCGGTTACTGCGGCGCCGAATGGAAAATGGCTGGCTTGTCAATCAATGGACAATAAAGTAGTTGTTTTCTCAGCGTTGAACAGATTCAAGATGAATAGGAAGAAGACTTTCACTGGGCATATGGTTGCTGGATACGCCTGTAGTGTGGACTTCTCACCAGATATGAGGTAGGACTTATATTTACATATTTATGGGATGAAATATAGATTAAATTACAATAAATTAATTTGTAAGGTTAAATTAGTTTACCAAGAACGGTTTTTACAGTTATTTTGACATGGAGTGTATTAGAAATATCTTACATTAGAAATAAAAACAAATATAGCAAGAACATTAACAACAAGGGTATTAAATGCACATTTTGCAACAATAATTTTTTTGACAAAAACAGTTTAAAAAGTAGAATATAGATGTCGCTACTAGCAGTGTATTATCCAAACAGTACACTAAAGTAATAATAGATGTCGCTTTACAACATAAAGTAAAGGTCAAGTTAGTTCAGAAAAATAAATATAGATGGCGGTACAAGTCTCACGAAGCTCATTAATGTTTTCCAGTATTACGATTTACGATGAGACAATCTTATTTCGCAATTAAATCACCTTTCACTCGAGCATCCGCAGATATTGTTTAAGAACGAAACGAAAATACTAAGTAATGCCAACAATTTTTGGTAATTATTGCTTATAATTAAAATATAAATTACAAATTATTGTGACATATTTCTTTATTCTTTTGTTGACGAAGAGAAGATCGGAATGATATAAATTCTTAATACTAATTAAGTTAATTAAAATGACTTATAAAATTCTTATCAGAATTTGAATAGTGACGTAATGTTCTAATAACATTAAAAAAATCATTCTTAATAACCTTCAGTGTTACCATATATTAAAAATCACAAAAAAAAGTAGCCAAAAAGGTTACAAATAAAAAGAATGCATATGTTAAAATCAGTAACATATATATGCGATTAACCTTAGAAGAAATTTTGTCCTGTATATGTATATTATATATGAACATAATATGTATATATTTTAATACATTTGAATCAAAAATCTATATTTTTGTATGTTAGTAAACACGGACTCGGGTAATACTTTGACCTTAATGTTACTGAATGACGTTTCTTATTAACATTATCTTTAATTATAATATTTTTGTATAAATTTTTACGTTTTGATACTTAATAATAGTTATTACTAAGTTTGATATGAAAATGTTTATTTATTTATATATTTTCGCTTATTTTTCATAGAATTATTAACATTTATTAAAAAAAATGTCTGCTATTGATTTAAAATACTATCTTTAAAACTTTTAATACTAAAAAAACCATTGGGTATTTTAATTTGTCATATAAACTACGCTCAAGTAAAAAAAATGTATGCATACATTATTTTTTATTCATATGTATTATTTTTGAATTGGAATGCAAATATGAAATAACAAATTAAATTTCTTTTTAAAAATAATCGTTAAAGGTGTCCACATACGTCATGCCCGACATTATACCTTTTTCAATATTTTTTGAAAAATAACGTAAGCAATGAAAATAATAATAAAAAAAGAGAAAGCTTTTTAAATTTGTTATAGCCTTATTCCTTAAACCTCGTTGGTAATATGCATATGCATCTTAACATTGCATATGAATTCCTATGCATGCATGCACTTGTCTATTTCTATATTATGGAAAGATATAAATATATGACACGGTCAAACGACTTATGATTATTTTAATAAATACTCGTTAATTACTCTCCACTAAGTATATTTTCAAAATAACGTATGTTAATTTTTTTTCATAGCATTTTGCTACTTAATATACATATAATATAGTATTTCATTTTTCAATATATATTTTATATATTGAAATATTCTTATTTATTTAATAATTTGTGACAGGTGACTAAGTTATAACATAAAAAGTATTAAAAATTCGTGTCTCAAATGTAACAGAATATAGGATGGAACTATATAAAAACTTTTTTCATAAAACCTCCTTTATATACTAATAAGGTTGTATATATTAACCTATTATTTGAATCAAAATTTCAATAACTATAATCTAGGTTAAACGACTAGACGATAAGCTTATCAATTTGCTAAAAATATTATCTTGAATACGGTGACGCTCTCGTTTGGCATATTATGTAATTTATTCGATAATAATGGTTATTTTTAAATGATGATTACTATTAATCTTATTTTATATAGATCGTAATAATTGCACTTAGGAAGGAAATAACTAATAAGAATAAAAACGGCGGATAAGTGCTGCCATCTAGGTTTTAAAATAGAAACATTGGCAACGGAATTAGATATGCAGGTGTATGAAAAAGTTTTGGTTGGTATAATATGAATTTTAAGGATAATATATTTGTATTTTTTTTAGTTTATTTTTGTTATTTAGTATTTTTTTTGCTTTTGAGTTTTCGAATAAATATTATTACACCTTCATTAATATTAAATTAATTTCGTATTTTTTCGTATATATTTTTTATACTTCATAATAAATTTAATACGTTAGTGATGCATATTTCTTACCTCGTAAGAACTAAGTTTGATTTGGATAAAAATTTAAACATGACACTCCCACATAATAAGCCGTCTAAGTTTTGATTTCAATTACTTACCCTATAAAAAGGTTAAATTAAATAGCTTATAGCATTGTCTGTTTTATTTGATATATGAATTGTTTATTAGTGTGAAATAAAAACATCACAAAAAAATTGTTTCTCTTATATATTTTAAGATAAAAAGCTTAAACAAAATAAAATTTAGTTAATTTACTCTAAATCTATCAGTTTTGATGTACGCGAAAACAATTGTAGAATGTATATCGTATTTATTTGTAAATCGCAAAGATAATGTCATTTCAGTTGTCAACTATAAGTTATTTTGTATTTGTCGTGATAAAATAAATATTTTATATACTTGTTGATACATATAGAGACTTCACCTGACTTTACTTCACAAATTCATTAATAAATGTTAGCTGAAATATTAAAATCAGTTAAATAATTAAAACTATAAGTACTTACAATTTTTGTGTTTTTAAAGCTATGGCTAGGCTTTTAACTGAATCTTCATTTACCAGCTTTCACTTTATTTCCTCCTTCCATCAGGATAAAAGAAATTAATTCTTTATCCAATTTATATTTAAAATACATACAAACATTATACAATTCATACATACATAACTCAAAAAATAACGTAACGTAAGTTTTAAAACATTAATATATACGAAATTAAAAAATTTTATTAAGCTAATTGAAATAGATTTTGTTCACAAAATTCTTAATCGTATTATTTTACGCGTCATTTCGTATAACAGAATACAAATCAATACCAATGTACTAAACACTAAAAATACATATATTTTATACATTTCATTATTAAGATATTAATACTAATATCACGAGTTATTAATACTTGTAATAAAAATCATTTAATGTTTACATTTTACATTACAAAACATTCCGAGTACAATCATACATGACATGACGTAAGCGTAACAGTTCCTCACTTGCGACTTTCTCTGGGCGAGGTGATTTAACTATATGGCTACCTTTATAAGAAAGGCCATAGTAATATAATAATATCTAATCCCTACTAATATTATAAATAAGTAACTCTGTCTGTCTGTCTGTTACGCTTTCACGACTAAAACATTAAACTGATTTTAATGAAATTTGGTACATGTAGAGTTGACCTCGAGAAAGAACATAGGATAGTTTTTATCCCAGACTTTTGAAAGGTTCTCTTGGAAACGCGATATAACCGAACTCGACGCGGGCGAAGCTGCGGGCGGAAAGCTAGTACATATATATAGTTAGAATATTGTAAAAGAAATATTTATGATGGTCATAGAATTGTTTCTATCGCGTGTTGAATATAAACTACCCTCTATAAACAACGGGTTTTGACTTAAGTCCGTAGAAACTAGTGTTGCAAAATGCAAGAACAAGACGAGACTTAGCAAGTCTTGGTCTTGGTCTTGGTCTTGCAGCAAGAGCATAATGTATTCGTGTCCACTTTAAGCACCCGAAAACTTATTTTATTCTTCGGTACACCTATATTCTATGGCGGCAATCAGGGGAAAACATGTACGTGTGTACTTGTACTTCCGATCTTGTATCTTGACCTTGTACTTCCGATTAATTGCAAAATTTCTATGAGAGGTCTACTGACCTAAGTCGGGTCGCGTACTCCCAACACTCGCTGATGCCGCCAAGAACCGCTGAATGTCATCACACTTTTTTCTTTTAATGGAACTGCAAGACGCAAGAGTCTTGAAACTTGGTCTTGCATTTTTGCAAGAACAAGACCAACATTGCAAGACCGAGATCGTTTTTAGGCAACACTAGTAGAAACCATTGATATATTAAGATTATTACTACAAAAAATATATTTATAATATGCTAGCTACATTTAAAGTCATAGTACGACGATTGACATTATCTGTTTAAAGATATTTACGTGACAAAAAGCAAAACTAATATTGCTTATATACAATTTTCGTATAGATTTTTTTGCAAGTCATAAACCCAAAAATAACCTATGTACTGTTCATATACATATATGTATTTTATAGTTTTCAATAACAGTATATATGTTTGAAAACAAAGTCAAAGGATACAAAAAAAAACAAAGTATTTTTTACAAACAGTATCTGAATTAAACAAAGTAGTTAAAACGATTAACATACTCGTAATGTTATAACGTTTGGAATATTTTAACCGGATTTCAATGAAATTACGTATAAACAAATAATTGTATAATAATAATTCGAAACTGGTTTCAAGGCGTTACTCATAATAATAACCTTAGTATAAGTTCCCATCGTCACTGCATACGTATCGTTTTCCGTTTGTCATTACGTAATCAAAGTTTAATGTGCGAAGATTTATTATGAAAAACTCGTAACTCTACGTATTCGGTTTGTTAACTCGTATTTGTGGTAAGGTTACATATTGAATAACTTCCGCGAAATATATATATATATTAATTTATTAGTTTTGTTCCGTCGTAAATATTATTCTGAATTGGAATATTTTTTATAAATATTTTTAGTGTTTTAGCTCCTAATGAAAAAGAGAATTGTTTTGAAAATACGTTTGACGTGTATGTCTGTTTGTGGCATGGTAACTCACAATGGATCTAC